AAACAAATGGCGGCCTTATCGCTAAGCAGCGATCTCTTCCAGACAACCTGAAGTACGGGAGAAAAGAATTTAGAAAGGCTTATTAAAAATTCTATTAATTTTTAGTACGTGTCCCTCAATTAAAGTTGTATGATTGTCAGTTTATAATATCTGGTAACAGACGAGACAGGCAGTGGAGTTACACGAGTTTTCTCTTATCGTACGGTACCCTAAAATGTACAGATACGCCGCAACGTCACTCGCTTCATTGATCTGGAAACTCCTTCAGATTCCCACTCCGTTTTCCGCTAAGTGTCGTCGCCCGATCATTTTCATGGCGTTTAACAATTGAGGAGACTGTATTCGGGGTATTGCCGTTTTAAACTGACAACCGCTTCAAATTGTCCCCTCGCTTTTGCAGTCATTTGTTTATTGACTTTCACGAACAAACTTCAGTCTATCGAATTTCCTTTTGTCGTCCCTTAAGAAATACATTTAATTAAAAAATATTTTTTTTTTTTAAAAAAAAAAAAAAACCGGCCCCAAAAACCCCCCCAAAAATATATAAAAAAAAAAATTTTTTTTTTTTTTCCCTTAGGGGGGGGCCCGGGGGGTAAAAAACCCCCCACACACCCCCCCCCCCCCCCCACCCAAAAAAAAAAAAAAAAAAAAAAAAAAAAAAAAAAAAAAAAAAAAAAAAAAAAAGGGTTTCCCCCCCCACATTTTTTCCCCTTTTTTTTTTTTTTTCCCCCCCCCGGGTTTTTGCCCCCCCCCCCCCACAATTTTTTATAAAAAAATAAAAAAAAAAAAAAAAAAAAAAAAAAAAAAAAAAAAAAGGGGGGGGGAAGGGGGGGGGGGGAATTTAAAAAAAAAAATTTTTATTTTTTTTTTTTTTTTTTTTTTTTTTTTTTTTTTTGTGGGGGGTAAACAACATTCTCACCTTTTTTTTAGGTGTTTCGGGGGTTTTGGGGGGGCCCTTTTTTTTTTTTTTTTTTTTTTTTCCCCCCCCCCCCCCCCTCACATCACTCCTACTCTAACTCCCACTCTCGTTCCTACCCTCACTCCCACTCCCACTGCTATTCCCAAAAAGCCAAAGAAGAAAGTTTCATTGTTCTGGCTTCAAAAACCACGAATTTCCATACAAACTTTCATCCCTTTTTTCAATGCCAAAAAGGGTTGATAGGGGTAGCTTATATAACTTTCTCAGGCTCTAAAATATCTGTGTATACCAAATTTCATTCAAATCAGTTTAGTAGTTTCCGAGTTAAAGCCGGACAGACAGACAGACAGAGTTACTTTCGCATTTATAATATTAGTATAAATGTATACAAAAACCAAGCTAAAATTATATAAGTGTTGAACAATAGTAAATAAAATAACGATAATTATTAAACATTATTATATATTAGGTAAGATAAATGCTGAAATTGTAAATAACGAACTAACATAGGTTCAAATCCTTGATCTCGTGATCGATAGAATGGCAAAGGGCTTCCAAAAGATGATAATCAAGATTACATACACGTAAATCATCCCTTTGTCAAACGTCAACCCCGTTAACACGAAGAACAATAGCCTATTACTTTTGTTATACCGCACAATAGACGCCGAATTGGTCATATGAAATGCAACTAAATTTGCTTTAACGTTTCAGATTTGTGTTAGTTGGAAAATGACGCGTGTTTCCATGGATTAAAGTTAAAAATCGGGTAAAGATAGCTTGGATTGAGACTATCTGCGCAAATGGGTTCCGAGTTGAGTTTCGTCTGCATGCAATATTTCATTTTCGAGTTTATTGCCGAAACGACAAATATCAAAATAACAAATACAACTTCTCTAAATGAAACACTTTTAATAGCTTACGCTAAATGTTTTACAATTTATTTTGTCTACTGCCTGAGTAAATATCAGACAATACTCGATTAACCAGTAGCTAAAAAGAAATGTATGTCTTAAAGAATATGAGTACTACTTTACCAATTTATATCAAAATTAAATTGATTTATGTTGTATTAGTATGTCTATGTATATACGTGTAAATTGTTGATCTTAGGTATATGTATATGTTATCGTAGTAGTGAAGTCGTGCATTAAAAATAGTCATTTAATAATAAGAACATAAAATGAGGTCCTAGAGGAGTACCCTAGATACCCTAAATTACTAATGGGGTAGTAAAACTATTGAATTATACCTTAAGGCAAACTACTGCCCTTTTTCTTCCTAAAATCGGATATATGCGGTTACACTTTTATAGATTCAATAAACTGTACCTTGAATGAACAATCCTTTGCGACCGTCTGTTTAGGGACCTTCACAGTACAAAGATTCTTTTAAAGCATTTAAAGCGAGCAACTTTATAACCTGTCCCTTCCATTGTGCATTTAGGTAAGCGACATTTTCACACATAAAAGATTATTCTCATTCATTGGACCCTTTTCCTGTCTCTATATTTGTTCTCGTCCTTTGGACATAAAACATATGGACCCTTGACCCTACGTTTACAAGAATTGCGGGTTATTTATAAGAAATTTAGGCGATTAAAAATGGCATGTGAAACTTACGTCGAGCGTAGATATAAATATATGTTAACCTATTTAAAAAAAATATGGGCACAGAGAAATTAACAAGAATCTAATAATGTTATATGCTTTTAAATACGCGATATATTAGTTAAACTTATTTGAAAATTATTTTTAATTTCGGCCCGACGTTTCGGATGCTTTGCAGCAGCCATGGTCACGGGGAGGCTAAAGATGGAGGATGTCTCCGACTTACTGTATTGGCGAAACTGGCCGAAGTTAAAAATAATTTTCAAATAAGTTTTACTATTATATCGCGTTTTAAACCGTTAAAGTGTTTTATTTAAATATGTTCTACTCGCGTAAACTATAGACGGTATGTTTTATTATTGTTTTTAAAATACAAAAGACAATTGTCAAAGTCAAAACTAATGCGCTAGCGCCATCAGTTTCTTCGAAACTGAAATTTGGAAGAAATAGCTGGATCATCACGAACTAGTCATACACGTCCTTTAGCTGTTATATTTTTCACGTTTTAAACCTTAAGCTCGAAATTCGACTTGTTTTCACATATGATAATGAATGCTTTGTAATTTTACATTGAGAATATTTAGCACTGCACAGCATACCCAATTTTCCTCAGAAAATAAGCTGCTTATTATGTTTATCTAACATATTATGATAAAGACATATACTTAAGTAAATATTTCTGTGAAAGCACCATATGTTACTTATTCAGTTGGTGAAAGGGATTTTAATAGACTCTAGTAACAATACAAACACGATACAGTAAACATCTTGAGCATACTTCGCTAACAGATATTAAAGTAAATATTATCAAAATAAGAATGAGATGTTGTATTTGGACACTTCCAAAAGATATAGATGCACTCTTTAATATAACACTTTTAACGGTTTAAAACATAACATTTATTACAATTTATTTTAACGACTAGGCCAAGTTTTGCATGCTTTGCAGCAACCGTAGACGGAAATTCTTATTTATTTTAACTTCGACCTGACGCGATGCCCTCCTACCACGGCTATAGCTAAGTTTTTGAAGCGTCGAGTCAAAATACCAAAATATTTCTTATATTACATCGTCAAAATTGTTTCATTTAAAATGTGTCCTATGCATAAATTAAAGATATTACTTATTTCGCCTTATACCAAGTACCCCTTGCTTATCTGTCCTTGTAAGTAATAAAAAGTATTTTAGGGCGTAGAGGCTTTTGTTGGAAAAGCAAGGAAATTTAACAGCTTTCGTTCTCTAAGTGATTACGAGTTATATGAAGCTTAGCCAGAGTTCAGGTATCCAGACAAGGCCGGCGTTTATAGTATGGTATTAAGTTACATCACTAATTAACTCCAAATGGGATGCTGTGTTTGAGAGTTAAGCCCGTTACGACAGTATAACAGCATCTAAGATTTGTTTACACGTGTAACAAGTTGTCTCAATGACTAATATAGTTCATAGTATTACATGACGAGAGTTCGATCTGCAGTCCAGTCACAAAAACGTCGATGTCGTATTAACAATTATATTAGACCGAATGCATCACCACGGTCTATATAATGTACGAATGATGATGTAACAAAATTTTGTTACATCATCATTCGTTTAATAAGTTGGTATGTTGTTATTAGGTGATAAACCATTGTTGACTGAAGGTAACAGTTACTCCTTTTACTTATATAATTCCTTAATATCGACCTTTATCAAAATCATTATACAAGTAGAAATAACTACAACTTTTGTATTCACAAAATGAAACACTCTTATTTAATTTTTATGTATTTTTTTGTAATACCTAATAAATGAGAGTTAGACTAATTAGTGAAGTTAATTATAATTGACAATTTAAACACCAAACAAATTTTTAATTAAATAACTTTTCTTTTGTAGGTGTGGTCTTATCTAATTATTCGCGTTATCTTGATTAGACGTCAGATTCAAATCTTGCAAATCAGATTATGTAATTAAATTAACAGGTCGGCTATATTTTTTACCATTTACGTGACTTAACTGTAAAACGTGGAACCCCGTGTCCCCGTGGCCACTGCAAAGCATTCGCAAAGTCGGGTTAAAGTTATGTGTAAATAAGTTAAGTAATATATATTGCGTTTAACCCATAAAAAATTTAAATGTGTACTACTCGCGTAACAGTACTTAGCTGTAAAACTGTTGCCCATCATTGGGTCAAGCATAAGGGCAAAATTGTTTCAGAATTGGGCACCGAAAGATGAAATTATATATTTTTATTTACAAAGAGATATATACCACGAAAACTCATTAAAAAATCAATGACACAAACAGCAGTCAAATCCGGGACGTGGCTTTTTCTTATTACTTGTCCTAGCTGCGTTATACCAAAACCAACCTCCCATTTAAATTATAGTTAACCCTTAAGTAAAATAGTTTTAAAATTGTGATGTTAATATTAAAAAGACATAAAAAAAGAAGTTTTTTAAATCTTATCTAATCTTTTATTTTGTTTCAGCACTTACCTAAAGGACGACTTTGCAGTTCTACCATTTTTAGAAGCTGGCTTCAATAGAGTAAGTTTTATGTATATTTTATAATAAATGCCTTACAATGTAGGAAATGCTAAAGTACAGTCAGGTACTAAATGGTTATTTGAGCTAATTAGTTTTTCTTCAATGTACTTCTGTATGAATAATTACATTGAAAAAATTAATTAAAAAATAATTTTGTTTATTAACACAAATACTTGTATGTAACTTACAATTAAAATAAATAAATATAAAAAAATATATAAATTTAAACTTTGTGCTAAAAGGCATCAAGGCCCAGCTTGTGTTCAGCGCGGTTTGTTCAGGCGCTGATATTAAGTCTGTCCCTTTTTACTTAATAAAGACACTATGTACCTATAATTATTGCGGAGACTACTACCGCTCTTCGTCGTCTCGACCTTGCCACATAACATCATAAGAATTACTTGTTTTTTTTTTAATTTCTTGTTAAATTAAAAATTGAACAACATGCGTCATAGACATCGTGCAAATTATTGACTACATATGCACGATAAAAGTGTCCTTGGCCCAGCTGTGGGAACTGTTAAATGGCCATAGAAAAAAATAGGTCGACAGCGCAATTTCTTGAGATGTTATATAGCTGGGGCAATTACATCATTCCTCAAGAGAACCACGTGCTTCTACGCCCTATCTATACTAGTGATTGTTTGTTTGAACGCGCTAATGTCAGGAAGTACTGGTTCGAATTGAAAGTTTCTTTTTGTATTAGTTAGTACATTTATCATTTCAGAGTAGTTAGAACATTTATCATAGGCTATAAAACATCGCAATGTGACTAATATGACCGAAGAATAGAGGGAAATGTAAAAAAAGAAACGGAGAAAATTTTTCATCTATGTGGGTTTCCGATGCTGCAAAAACGGTTAAAGAAAATTCCAAAAATAATGAAGAGTAGTTGTTTTGAATGCCTAAAACTACTATTCTACGCTCTGACACAGCTAGTTCTATATATTTATAATAAAATCGATTTCATTATAATCAAAGCAAAAAGGAATAAAGTTACCACTTCTGCATACGACTGTACATATAAAATATACTCAACTCTGCATTGAGTGGGCCATTAGATCAACAAAGCGTAAATGTCCCGGTTTAAATTGCTACGGAGCTACGAGTTTTCAACTCCGAACGCTACGGCATTTCAAATGAATACAATTTGTAGCATTTTATTTCTACAGAGTTGATATCTGAAATCTTAAATGCAAGTGTGGCGTAGCACTAAATAAAAAGTAGAAATTAAATTTGTCTACTACATAAGCCACTAAATCTATACTAATACATACCTAAAGTTGAAGAGTTTGTTTGTTTGACCGCGTTGTGTTGATGACAACATTTATCGAGGAAGGCTATAGGCTATAAAACATCTTCTTGGGACCAATGGAAGCCAAGATACAGTGAGAAATGCGTCAAAAATTGGGAAAACTATACATTATGACGGGTTCCCGAGGCGTACACTGCAAAAACGGTTCAAGATACCCAAAAAATATGTATCAAAGAATAATTCCTCTTTCAATGATCTAAAAAAAGGACGGAAGGGCTAACATCTAAAATTTATAGGTGAAGGGGTTCGCAAAAACGAATTCGTTTGCCCAAAATAACGAGTTTCGCGAACGAAGTCGCTGACACAACTAGTCTATTATAAACGGTTTTATAATGGACTAGCTGTGTTAAATACACCTAGATGAACGACGCAAGATGAACAATGCATATGTAATACAATACGAGTCTAATAAGCTTTTTCTCGAATACAAAAGGTAGGAAACATTAAAAAAGCATTGAACTAGAATAAAATGACAACCATTGTACTCGTTATGTCTTGGTGTAGGGCTCCACTACAACACTAGCTGTTTCAGCGACTTTGTCTGCTAAGAATGTTTATATTAGGCATCCAAATTCGTTTTCGCAAACCCCTTCATTTTTATATACTTAAGCCGTAACCCACGACGTCGGACGCGTCCCTTCCCGTCGTTCTTGCAAGTTAATCTTAAAAGATAGACATATAGCATCATAAATATTTTTCAGGTATCTTGCAGCGTACGCCTCGGAAACGGACTATGATTAATATACAATTGTTTTTCATATTTCTCACTGTATCTTTGTATTAGTCACAGGGCGATGTTTTGTAGCCTATATATAGCATTCCTCGATAGATGTTCTAACCAACACAAAAATAATTTTGCTATTAGAGCCGATAGTTCCTAAGATTAGCGCGTTCAAACAAACTCATCAGCTTTATATTAGTATAGATATTCCTTAGCGAAAGGGTATTTTTTTTTATTGACGGTCTATACGTTGGTGTACTGGTAGCAATGTATTTTTCTAAACATTTATAATTTTCTGAAATATTTTGGTCTTCTTCTGGAAATCTGGATATTAAAACGGGTGGTTATAATATCGAAATTCCTACCGGGTCACGTACCAACCCATAGATGATATGATCGTGAAGTTTCACGTTTCCGTTTCAGTTTGAAGATTTCCGAATATCCGAATGCAAAATAGATCGACATCTTGTTTAGATGTATAGGTCTGTTTGTCTGTCCTCCTCTATCATTAAAAAATTCTAACACTTACTAATCTATCTGTAACTAGGCTGAATTCGAATGCTTTGGAGTCGTACAAACGTGGCCCCAGGGCTCCCTCAAAGCACCGTAGAGGGCTGGTGGTGTGTTTAGTGGTACTGGTCGGCTATACGATTTACCACACTCCCCACGTCATTATTGCCCGACATCAGTAAAAAAGACTGAATTCTAATAATAATTTATAAGCTAGTCTTATGTAGTTACGACTCTAACTTAACCGTTTTAAAATTAGGTACAATTATGTATCGCTTGACTTCACGACATATAACGAGAAATAATTGTCATTAACTAGTACATAGTTTGTAAACGCCGAGTTAAAAATAAATGTATACAGTAAAGTTTCGGTGTAAACCGTTAGAAATGGTTTCATTTTATAACAACAACTCGCGTAAGCTGACTTACATATAATGTATTAGATTAAAATGATTAACCGTTACGTTTCCTTAAGAAAATCCAAGATACATTTTTCCCAAAATGTAACTTCGATATATTAAACTTGATTTAATAGTGAATACAAACCAATTTAAACCGTCCTAAGTAAAGTTTAAAGTTACTTCGACGGTCCCTTAAACTTCACAAATTAGGTTATCATCAAAGATGTTGTAGAAAGGTATATCTCTCTATTGTCCACGTTAGTAAGATAGTTATAAATTCAAGACCAATTTAGAAATGGTTTGTGTCGATTTTAGATTTTTAATAAATACTTTTCATTTCTTGCTGTTGCTCTTACCAACACGACACGGTAGGTTAATTGGTTAGAGCAACAGCACGGAACGCTGTGGATGCCGATTCAAGTCCTGTCCGTATCGTAATTTTTTTTTATCTAAAGTCAATTTTTAATTTTTTTAATGTTCAATAACGTATGAAAAATATAAAGTTTTCAAACGGTTCGTGTCATTAAAATTGTGTTTCCCTCATTAACCTGTTATATTTAAATATTAAAATTGCAGGTAATGGTAGAAACGTTAGGATCGACCGCATGGTGTGCCGAAGTGCTGCAAGCGAGGTCGGCGGCGGCATCTGCGCGGGCGCAGGTGGCAGCTGTAACCGCGCTGGCAGCGGCAGCAGACCGCTGCAGAGATCTAGTCGCCGTCACAGATGATCAACAGAGGGTGCTTGTATGTATATTTGTTTGTAAGCTTATTTAAACAACGCACTTGAACGGTTTAAAACGCGATATATAACACTTAAACTTATTTGGAAATTACTTTAACGTTTCGGTTGCTTTGCAGCCGTGGTGGTGGTGGGGAGAGTTTAACTAATATATATCGCGTTTTAAACAGTTAAGGGGTTTTATTTAAATTTGTGCAGACATTATAAATGAGCTTAAATAAATTAATGTACATTTTAGATAAGGACGAGGATTTTTTCAATTTCAGTGAGTTTCTGATTAATGAAGACCGTATTTAAATTTGCCTAGCTCACAAACAAATCCTGGTGTCGCGTGGTGGGTTGGCGACCTGATGAAGGTCCCAGACCGTTCGCGGAGACCATCGGTGGTGAAGGGTTGCGTCTGGCTACCAGTGGGGCAAGGGACTGGGACGCACCAGTCATGCTCAGGCGGCGAGCATCTCCCGATCCAGTTCTTTTAGCGTGTAAAGGTGCAGCTGTATCTCTTACAAGGTGAGTCGCTGGAGTCAATGACCTTTACAAAAATATATATATGTAGCAATTTATTTGGGTTCAAGATACATTTAAAGTTGTATAATTTTCCAATATTTATGGATACTTGTCCAAAAATCACTTTTTAACGAGCTTAGTTTTACTTGGTTGACATAGTCGGCGCGGACGCAGCTTAAACATATGAATAAAATCTATCCGCTCTATCTAGGAATCTTGAATCAAAATATCAAAGTGTCTCTTATTAAAACATTGTTCGCAGACGTCCTTTATGCTTTTTACTTATCCATATAATTTCACCTTTTACAGAAGTACCTCGCACATTGTGTTCGTTTGTGAACCCAGTAATATCCCAGACGTTGAACGAGGGAGAGGGTCTCTCCACTCCATCAGACGTGGTTCCTTGGATGTACGCTCTGTGGCTTCGGATGGGCTGAGACGAACCTCCCTAGCTAAACTTCAAGGGTTGCCTTTAGAAGCTCCTATTACTAAGGTAAGAATCATTTTTGCGTTTTTCTTGTCTCGGAGTGAATTTTAAGCTAGAAATTTCCGGGTAACATCACAAACTTAGTGGCGATATTTAAATAAAACATTTTACATGTTTGAAACTTTACTATGTTCCGTGCTGTTGCTCTAATCAATTAAGCTACCGTGTCCTACACGTCATCCTCAAAAAAAATTTTTCTTTTTCTTGTCCATAACAAATATTATTGAATCTGAAAGTGGTCTGCGACTATATAGGTATCTTAGTACACAATGCAAGGAGTAACTAAAGATATTTAAATTCCAGGTGATATCTCTCTTGTCTACGGCTACTGAGGGGGCTCCACCATCAACGGTCGCGTGTATAGAGCGTGCTGTGGACATGCTAAGGACCTCAGAACTGTACTCGCCGCAGATGAGAGAAGACCCCAAGTTACGCGCAGAAGACCCCATCGCTACGGATCTAATTGGGGCTTTGCTTTCGGTGAGTTTGAAAATAGAATCTTCTGTTGTCTTTTTTTCTACAGACCATCTTCTAAAAAGGTTATATATATCCTTTTCATACTTAGTTATAAGGCGATTATAAAGATTGCAAGATATTCATTGTATAAATATTTCTAGTTAAATATATTTATGTACCTTTGATAATGCGTTAAGTATAACTCAGCAAATATAGATTTAGACACTGTAGATATTGTTTACATGAGGTTATATAAAAGGTATTTTATTGCTTGCTTATGTAAAAATTATCTAGAGATTAGAAAGAAAGATTATATTTAGAAGAAAATACGTGCAAAAAGGGGGGCTTCTTTTTCCCGTACCTCTTATTTTGTGTATTATTGTTCGAGTATGTTAATAGCTCTATAATTATTTTTTGCTGACTGTACTTTGATGTATATCGAATCCTATTTCCGGCAAAATTAAGCTTAAATACCAATACAATACGCAATCAAATAATTTCCTAGAACGATGCATTGCTGCCTCATTATGCATTTTCAATTTTTCTTAATACACCTCCGTTTTGACTGTACTAACGAATGTTATTTGTTCACGATCCTGTGGGCCTGGATAGCGGGAGCAAGCGAACGCAAACCTTATTTATATGGTAGGAAGATTCAGATTACAAGAGCATCTTCTGTGACTGTCCTAGATTCCTTCAGCATAGATGACTCGTGATTGTCGACGATACTTCGCTTGCACTCTTTGTTACAGAGATTGTTTTGATTTCTTACGCAAATAAGATAAAACACTTTATCGTGAGCAGGCGAGAAGTTCTTTGAAGATACCGTTAGCCTTTGTATTCATTTTTAGGGTTCCGTAGCAAAACAAAAATTGTAACACTGTTAAGTGTAGCTTAAAATGATTTGACGATACGGGCGCGACTCGAATCGACATCTACGATCTGTTCTGGTGTAACCAATTGAGCTACCGTGTCTAGCTCGTCCTGATCGCGTTTTTCAATCTAAATAGATTTTTGATTGATAAACTTATATCATGTCAATAATAGAAAGTTGCAAACAGTTGGAAATAAATTATTAATTTATTTTCGACTGAAAAAAGTCACGGACTGGGCTTGAGCTATAAGCTGTTGCTCTGAACCTCTGAATTATTATCAATACGGTTTACTCGTGTCAGCGATTTTTATATAAAATCGTGAATGCCCCATGTCCTATGTAGAAGAAATTATATTTCATAATTTCAGCTTATGGTTTTTCTATGTCGTCAGATAGTACTAAAAATACTAACTATAAACTATAAGCTAATGTATATCATATAATTACAAAAATTCGACGACGCTTAGGACTCGGTAGCTCAATTGGTTAAAGCAACAGCACGGAACGTTGCGGATGTCGGTTCAAGTCCAGCCTGAGGCGTAATATTTTTCAATTAATCAATTTTTTTATATCAAAACAATCTCTATATACGCTCTACTAATTCATTAGAAACGACAGTCCTAACATACATTAGTAACTGTAAATTTTCGATCAATCTAGTTTAGCATTTTAAAAATCAGTTTACGATCATTTTACGTATTTTCTATACTTCGTTAGCAATGCAATGTACAGCATTGTCACTGAGATTTTTGCGTTCATTTTTATAAATTTCAAATGTACAGCACCAATCTCTAACAATCTCTAAAATAGATACATGTGTATATAGAGCAAAATCACATTTTTATCATTTTTATGCCAGGTTCACTCGATGGTAGCTAAAATACCTCAGCCATATAACATCTAAACAGGATGCGTTGTCGGCCTATTGGATATTCGGAAATCCACAGACTGACATCGAAACGCGATTAAGCTTCACGGCTTTTTCATCTGTGGACGGTGGTCTGTTGGAGGGAATTTCGATATTCCTACCACTCCATTAATATCATCATAAACTGATTACATGTTGGAATTGGTGGGGATCGAATACACGACCCGTCGTTTATTAGACATACATATTACCCAAACGAGCCCTTCAAATCATTTTTCAATATATTAAGGCAAAATTCAATTTAAAGTAACTTTACCTTACCTAGTTTAATCAAAATTGTCAATAGTGTTCTAAAGTTAGCTATCTAAAAGTGTAGATATATATATATATATATATATATATTTAATGTAATTTCAAAGATTGGCATTGACTATATTGGTGCTGGCACAATGCGATTTATTTCTCTCTACATAACTTCCAAACTCTCGAGTTAAGGCCGCTAGAACCAGAGTAGCCTAAATGCAGTTTTATGAACTACATTTATTTTTATAGTCTAAAAACAACACAAGGCACAATGACCGAAAATTGTTAACGTAATTCTTACACAAATAATAGTACAAATTCATTTTGGCCTAAGCTAATTGCGTATTTATTGATTTCCTCCTTATTGAAAATCATGTTTTGTTATTAGGCCACTCTGGCTCTAGTAGCCTCAATATATATTAATATGATTTATAGCGTTATTTGCTTTCACAGGGCACTTCAAACGTACTTTCGTCTCGTCGCAGTAGCAACGACTCTACCGTAGTACGGTCGCAGACTAACAGGACGAATATCAAACACAAGGTGAGTTACACCAGTATTTAATTTAGGAGAGTGGTTTTAGGTCCAATAAATATTTGCTCAAAGAGTTATTGCGGTTTTCACTGTAAATTTTGAGTAAAAACTTTACACCGAACATATTTGGAGTAAAGGTGTATGTAAACTTGGATATGTAAATAATATATTTTGTCATAGGACGTAAAAAATGAGCGACAGGACGCCCAAAAGGACGGATAACGTAAATTAAACTTTTTAACATGGATAATACTTTATTCTTTTTAAAATTTTAAAAAAATATTTACATTCGACAAAAATGTTTGTCTGTCTGGGTTGCGCGTGAAAGAGTTACACAATCAATCTGTTTGCTGTGTCCATCTGTAATGTTCAGTAAACTATGCATGAAAACGTGAAATAAATATTTGTACGTATTGTATTAGATTGAAAATTTAAATAGTTTAAAATGCACTATAACATTTACATATGTTACTATGTCCTTTTTAAACGTATAAATAAAAAATCGATTTTAGATTGAAAAAGGCAGGACTCGATCCAAAGTATTCCGTGCTGTTGCTCTAACGGCTAACCAATTGAGCTACTGTGTCCTAGACGTCATACACCTCTCGCGCAATGTAATTTCTACCTTAACATAGGAGTATACTATTGTGCGCTGTTCCCATATTCGAGGGATACATCTAAATCGTTTTACAGACCTAGAACTCACAACCTGAAACTTCCCCATATACCTTCTTGAGTACTTAGAATAAGATAAAAAGCCTAAAACCTCAGAAACCAATTGTTTTAATAATTCTCAAAGCAATTGCAGACGTCGGGCCAACTTCGTGAAATATTAGACACGTCTCTTAGTTGGGAATTCGAGATATTCCGACTCGAAGACCTGACCCGCGGAAGACCACTCACGCACTTGGGGCTGACGCTGATGGGTGGAAGGTTTGACGTTTGCGCTGCCCTGGAGTGCGACGAGAGGACGCTGCTGCACTGGCTCACCATTATTGAGACTAACTACCACGCGGTCAATACTTACCACAACAGCACGCACGCTGCTGATGTGCTGCAGGTAAAAAAGATTGTATAAACATGTAATATAACGTCATATTTTAGGACGTTTGTTATTGGAAAACTGTCTGTTAAGCTTTAAAAACAGATGGCGTAATTTTAAACAAATATACCTCTAACCCAATTGGTTTCAGTGGATCTTGTTAACATTTTTTCTTGCAGTACAATGACGAGTGTAGCTAAATAGTTAAACAGGTTGCGTAGCCTTGCGTTAAGGGCGAGAAGTCCTGGGTTCGAAATCCGGGGAAACTAGAAATTCTTTCTGATCGATTACTTGCCTCTAAATAAAAACGATCAGTGAAGCGGACCCCTAAATGTGTTCGCACCATGCCCCACGAGGGGAAATGGGATTTCACACACATTGTCATAGTTAACACGCTGAAGTTCTGAATCTCTAAGTGAAATGAATGAGCTACTAATAAATAATTAATTATTAAAATGTATTAATCGTTTTTTGAAGGCCGTCGCCTTTTTCCTAGAAAAGGACAGATTGAAAAACCTCCTAGAGCCGTTGGAAGCAGCAGCTGCTTTAATTTCCGCTGCCGCTCATGACATAGACCACCCCGGAACGTCTTCCGCTTTCCTCTGTAACTCACGGCACTCGCTCGCTATTCTATACAATGACGTCAGCGTGCTGGAGTCGCATCACGCTGCACTTACATTCAAATTGACTCTGAGTAAGTGTAAAGAGCTGTAATGATTATAATTTAAAATTATAATGATAAGTGTGTTTTTTTAAACACTTCAACGGTTTAGAACGTGATATATATTAGTCAAACCAAATTGATTTTTTTTAACTACGGCCCGACGTTTCGGCTGCTTTGCGGCAGTCGTGGTCACGGGAGGATGGAAGTAAAAACTGCTACGCTAGCGCCATTGCTTTTTAAATGTGTACTTGTCGCGTAAACTACAGACATTATTTTCCTTACATCTAACACTTTTAATACTAGATACTCATGCTCTACAAATTCGATTACAGACGACGACCGCGTGAACATATTCAAGAATCTCGACCGCGATACCTACAAGAATGTCCGTCACAACGTGATAGACATGATCCTGGCGACGGAAATGACAAAACACTTCGAGCACTTGGCAAAATTCGTCAACGTCTTCTACGCTAAGTCCACGGGCAGCAAGGAAGACGGAATGCATACTGATGTTCGTATTTCGTCCAAAATTTCCATGAGTTCATAAATCCTTGTTTAGGCGAGAGGAGTTACCCGCCACCCGCTGATAAATTGCTATTGAATCGGAACCTATATCTTCCCGCCACGTGGGTCTTAAATCTATTTTGAAAGTAACATGAAATCATAAACTACCAAAACCTCTTAGTCTGCTGTTAAGTATTACCAAGTTTTTGCAACTGTCAATTCTGTTTCAGGAACCCTTGTCATTAGACACCACAGCTTTGACGTCACAGGAAAATGTGATTCTTGTTAAGCGTATGATGATCAAGTGTGCTGATGTCTCCAATGCATCCAGACCTCAAAAGTTTGCATTTGAATGGGCCAGAAGGTAACAATATAGGCAGGACTTTTAATGACAGTATTAAAGATGCTTTAGGAAAATCCAAACATAGGGGCTAACATTCGTAACTTCTATCGTCTATAGCGCTAGTTACATGGTAGTAGATGACACAAGTCTTCAATTGAATTATTTCCAAGACTTGAAGATCTCCTTCCACCTCCTACTCCTCATATTTTTATTGAGAAGATAAAATGCCTAACGAACTTAAGTTTTATGTTTATGTGAAAATTCCAGGATAGCTGAAGAGTACTTCCTACAAACTGATGAGGAGAAGGCGAAAGACCTTCCCGTGGTTATGCCGATGTTCGACCGCGCCTCTTGCTCCATTCCGCGGTCGCAGATCGGTTTCATCGACTACATCATAATCGATATGATGGAAGCTTGGGCTGGTTAGTAATGTTACTTAAAATTAAAAAAATGTATTTAAATGTGGCTCTATTCAATTTGAGTATGTCTAGAAGAGAGTTAGATTTTTTTTCGAAAATGACTAATTACCCGATGGACTTAAAGTATGATAAGTTTATTGATCCAAGTGACGGCACTAGAGTATATATAGTAGTCTAGATTCTTCTCTCTACGAATCTATATTTAACTATAATAGCTGTGTCAGCGACTTTGTCCGCGTCAAAATTTGTTTTTGCAAACAACATCTTTATAAATTTCAGCTACCGGTCGAGTCCCATCGCTCGCGACCCGTCGAAACAAACTCTTCAGCTTTGTATTAGTATAGATAGATTGTAATATTTTTCTTTTTTTACTAATCAACAAGAATTTAAGATATCATTTTAACGAAATCTTTATTGCAAGTCAAAAACGTACTAAAATGTTACTTTTTATAAGTGTAAGAAAAAGTAATAACTTTGTTTTAATTGGTTAAAACGTGATAAGATAAGCCTAAAAGTAAATGCACTTTTACTATATCCTGACAGGATTTTTTTATTGATTTGATATCGTATGTATAAGTATCCAATATTCTTTCTCTTTTTTATATATATGGGAGATTATAGGCCTTCTATTTATAAGCTTTGATGTTTATAATTGATTAATAAATCAATACATGAAATAAGCATCATGAATATACCGGGCCAAATAAGGCGACCGCACATCTTACTTAGTTGATATAGTATTTTGGTATTTCACCGTCCTTTAAGTGAACCTCACGTGATCTATAATAAAAAAGGTGTTATATGTAATACAGATTTATTAACTGGCATATCCTACTTCTCCAGCGTTCATCGACATGCCAGAACTGGTGACACACGCTCGCAACAACCACCAACGTTGGCGAGAGCTGGACGAAGCTGGTGTAACAACCATAGCTGATGTGAAGCGCGCTCAACGTCAAGGACTACCCTCATCCACCTCGCAACCCACTGCGGAGGAGTGAATATGCCGTAAAGGGTTCAAAAAGTTCCTCTTATTAATCAATGAGGGTACTAACTAAATAATTATTTGTTTTCGCCAAATATCTCTTCAAAACTTAATGCTTTTACTTGATTTATATAAAATTCCTTTTAACGGTTTAAAACGCGAATGTATCATTTTATTTATTTCAAGTTAAAATAGAAGACTAGATATTTCGCGTTTTAAACCGTTGAAATGTTTACTTGAATGTGTATTCTACCTTCACGCGATGTAATCATTGCAAGTTTAAAATACATATTTCACCAATACATTAGTCTCTTATGGTGAATATACAAGAGAGATTACTTATTAGATGACATTCGTATGATATTAAAGGTTACTTCCACACATTTGAAAACGGCTTGGCTATTACAATCTTGCCAAACAACACTAAAAAGTTTTAAATTCTACTTGATAGTAATATGTGTTCAAATGACACGAACCTCTGAAATACATGATAATTTATCTTTAAAATAAAGCAAGGGTTCGTTAGTCTTTATAAAAATACGACGCCATAATTGTGGATTTCAGTTTATTCTGTAGTACAAGAATACTAAAAACACTTGGAGTAAAATTATCTTGAAGATGTTGCCTTTGAAGTAGTGTTGATTAAAATATAAATGTGTTATATTAAAAATAATAATAATCTTAAAGACAAACACTTTACGTGGTCTGAAATAATTCGTTGCTTACCGCAAAGGTTTGGCCCATTCTTCCATTACTGTCGCATAAGCTAACCAGTGCAAACCGGTTTATTCCGGTATCTTTGTGTTACACTACACTACTACAAACGCAGACACGTCTCTAAACTAAATTGCTGTACTTATAAGCACCGGGGGGAGTTCTATACTTTCTAGGTTTGTGATGAAAGTAGGCAAAGGCCCAAATCCCAAATGTCGAAGTCAAATTAAATTAAACCGGGGCCAAAGCCAAAAGGCGCAAGCGCAGTGCGCCGTCATTAAAAATCTTGAGACGTGCATTTTGCATGTATGTATTGCGGATACGTGTAAACGACTGAGACGGAACATCGGTAAACGGATGTCCGATAATACGCTTATTTTATATACTTATATCCGTGTTAGTCTAGTTCAGATGTTTACTATGTATGTATGTTTGTCGTATCCCAAACGGTTTCTTTTGTCGATGTTGTTATTAGAATTCGATGTCTTGGGCTGTGGTCACTTAAGGTGGGTTTACCAAACAGAATTCTTCGAGTGTGGACCAACTTATAAGCCTTAAACGAGCGTCCAACAGCCATTTTGTTCGTATTCGGCTGCGTATAGCGCATTGTCGGATTTTTGACGAACACAAAAAGATGTGCTTTTCTTGTGATCGTTGTTAGTCCACACTTGACGCCGAAAACGGTTTTACTTGTGCTCGTCTCGTCTAGCGTAAACCCACCTTTATAAAGTCTATAGCTTACGTACGGCGTAACGCATTACGCTCCGTCACAATTCGTTCACAATGGCCGTTTAACGTTTGGCCACATAGAGCCGCGTCGTTAGGCGTTGGCTAGCTAAAGTTCATACGTCAGCGTGTGAGGGAGACAACAAGTATTTTGTAAAAGCGGTATAATGTTAGACTTTTAAACGACTTTAAAAGACCTTTTAAACCGTTTAAAAGGAGGCCACAGCCTTACGGTTGCCAATAGACGTGTATTTCTAGTGTTACCATACCTTGAAATACGCTGTAGTTACGCGAGTAGTACACATTTAAATGAAGCACTTTAACGGTTTAAAACTCTAAATTAATTGTTAGGAAAATATTTTTTAAACAAGCTATAAAATATTTCGCGTTTTAAACCGTTATAATGTTTTATTTAAACGAACCGTGATAGCAGTGCCATATATTATTTGGCCTTAACTTCTGTCTCATTTCTTCTGCACCCCATGACAGACGCAGCCGTACATCGTTACTCTTAGATCATCAAATTGGTCCACTATACACTTGAGCTTTGAATAAATTCCTATTTTGATAAAATGTATCTTTTATACCCATTTACGACACTCGGCCCTGTCATATCATAATTCCAAATTTTTGAACGTTTTAAGTAGAGATTTTCTAAACTTCTTAATCTATTGAGGATTCTGTCTTTCATTCCTTAATATTAATATATACAAGTATTTTATACGTAGAGTATATTGAATGTTAACATAATTTATAATCATTATATCATGTAAAATAATCGCTTGGACCTATCGTTTCATTTCGAATAAGGCTAACATGTTTATACTAATTTTAAAATAGATTGTACTCGTCTTTATGACGCTGGTAATTATAATATATTAGAGATTTAATGTAAAGATAATAATTATTGAAAAATATGACGCTTCCTTGTGCTCAATGTCAATATTTAACGGTCTAATGTTATTTCATAGATGTTGTATTGATTAAATATTGCAATGATATTGAATACACAGGTCATTTACACAGATAGACTGGAATATATTTAATGCAGATTATAATATATTATATTGTTAAACAAGCTTTCTTAATTAGAGATGGCGCTAGTGTAGCTAATTTGACGTACGCGTCACTCGCCACTCGCCATTTTGTTTTTATGAACTCGCCATTTTTAATCCTTGACCACAGATAAAACTCTGAGTCTTAGAATAAAAGTACCTAATATAGTTCCCGTTTTATTCTCCAAATATGATTGTTTAAAGATTTTTCTCTATGTCCAATAGATGTCAATGGACTTTTGGCCACACCTGTAAAATTGACAATTGACATATATATAATTGTTATACATTTTGTTTATTTACAGGTTTTTCGAGGTTATATCAAATAATTCTTCTATAATGATAGACTTTGTATATAATATCATTGCGGAGCCATTTGATAAACTATAAAGGATCCTTGCAAATTATTTAAAGTAGAATACGGTGTTCAATCTCATATTATATGACTGTGTGTTACGTATTGATAAAGTTTTCGTCTACTAACAAAGCACACTAGAGATTTATTTGCTAAGTAGCTCAAATTATATAAATTTTAGCTTGTAAACTTTAATTAACGCACTACGACTATGAAATGTAACAAGCAGTCTGTTTAGGCGATTGGAATTTTTTATAGTTTAAAACGCGACCTATTATTACTATAATTCTAACTACCAGACGATGTTTTGCATGCTTCACAGCAATACTTACGTACCAAATTCAAATATATTCCGTGTTTCAAACAGTTTATTGTGTTTCGTTTAACGTGTGAGAGGTAATAAAAATTCTTGAATTATTTGGTCAAATGTTACATTTCATTGTTTAAGTGCGCGTCATATTATAATTTGGCCTAGGTCAAGCTATACTGATATCTAAGTTCGCACAATGACTATGTAGCTATATATAGGTTGGGGATAAAGAAATCCATATTTTTCATAGATATCAGTCAATCGATATCGATCAAAAAATATCAAATTAATGCTAGCTGCCGAGGTGGCTTATGCCAAAACAGTGCAGGCAAATCACATGTAACTTCGGTTTCTTTCGACCACCGTCAGGATCGACCAGGAGGTAAAAGATGACATTTAAACACTAATTCAACCAGTTAGAAAATTTTCAGGAAAATAATGGCCTTCTTTTCCCTCATATACGCCTTTTAAAGTTTTCTTTATACTCTACTGTTGAGAAGGGCTGGTCCCTTATAAACGTAAATAGTAGAGACCTAATAACGATTTCATAATAGTTCGTGAAATACAAAACAGCTATATTTTAATAGCACAATATGTCTAACTCTACGCGACTGTACCTTCTTAAGAGTCCTGCAACATTTGTATTTCCTTTTCAATTCCGATGCGGGTACTTGGTGCGATGTTATACTGGTGTATTTCATTTTCGATATGAATGACATTGTTATGTGTTGTAAATAAAAACTTAATAATTTGTATTTTTGTTTTATTTAACATAGAGGTGTAATCATTAGTTTTCAATCAACCACGAGTAGTTGACGCTCTATGTAGGAGTATCGCGAACTACCACGTTTTGTTATTATACCGTCGTACCATAATATTTTGAATCTATACAATGACTGATGAGAGTGTTAGTTAAGCGATTTTTTTCTGTGCTCTAACTGCTTGACTCAATAAGCATTCCGGATATCGCTAACTGAAATATAATGGGTTGACTTCGTTTTATTTTATTTCTTTATTGAAAAATTAGTCACACATACTGAACGTTGTCAAGTGGATATAATAGAAATTGCTTGGTTTGGGACACAGAAATAATGTTTCCAAACTACCGCCTGCATGGAGAATAGGGCTACCAAATAAACAAATGGTAAGAGAAATTTTTAATATTTATAAATATAAACAGGAAGAAAGCACCTTTCTCGGTTTGGTGGGATTTTCTCCTTTCTTCCGAGAAACTAGCGGGTAGTTAGTTGATCTGATAAAAAATTGTATCTAGATATAAAATAGATATTAAAGTAATAAGTAGGTAGTTAACAATAAAACCAATGTTAAATGATAAACATTTTATTATAAACAATTATTAAAAAACATTGTCAAAACCTATCGCAAAACAAGAAATCTTAGAACGTCCCAACTCGATCGGGCGTCGATCAATCGATTAATCGACACCGATTATCAATCCATGCTATCGATAGATTAAAAATAATAGTCGAACAGCATAACAGGATAAAACTTCGCACTCCCAACATTCAGATAAAATGCTATGGATTTAATCCTTTGATGTTTTAAATGTAATTTACATCCTTAAGAATTATATGAACAGCTATAACTGCGAAGACGGTAAATATACTGTTTTTTGTTAAGTTTGGACTTTAACTCAAATATTTGTAAAAAATAACATTAAAACAATCATATGTTAATATTAAGTGACTTCTCGACCATATTACAGAAAAAAATTACTTCACTTTATTGAATTATATAGATATTGTATGTATTTATATTTGTTTATGTGGTATGTCTATTTCTGTTTAGTAAAAGCTGATCATATAAACCTTAAAACAACATATAACCGCTATAAAGAAATTAATTTTATAATTAAATATGTTAGATCGCGGCAAATATAGGCACTGTTATGTAGAAGTCAATTTTATATGTCATTATAGTTTGTCTAATATATAATGATAGTTTTGACATACAACGGAGAAACAGATTAAATTAATCGATAAATTTATAAATTCCCTAATAATTAAATAAACATATTATTTAAATGGAAATAGGAATGTCTTTGAGATAATTAACTTATGCAAATATGGAAAAAAAAAAATATATATATATGACAAATTTTTCGCAACTGATTTTACATACGACTTATATTCAAGGCACTTACAACCTGGGCCGTACTAATCCATGATATTAAAAAGCAATAATTCTTAAACGCAAATTAAACTATCATCGTAAATTGGACAAAGCACATATGCATTTTTACGGAATTTAACAGAACAATTTCTCAAAAAAAAATTTTTTCCTAACAAATTCTCCCTCCAATAATATAACGAGTCCTAAGTTAACAGTGCTCATATTTCATTCGATCCACTTACACTAAAATAACGGTGAACCAGAACACGGAAATTTGAATAGAAGCCTTTTGTACTCACAATTAATCCGCTATGGCATCATTATAATTTTTAATATTTCCGCTTCTCCTACAATATATTTGGAATGAATCGGTGCTTATGTTAACAAACTGATATGACATGAGGTACGTAAGTACTTGACAGTAACGTGAATGTATTCTGAGAAGGCGGTAGGCAACAAAAAAGTTTTCAAAAAGTACCCTCATAAAATAACAACGTAAACTATCAAATTCTTCTGAACCATCATCACTAACGGGCTCATTGATTCAATGTTAGCAATACATGACTTTTCGATCCCTAGCCGATCATGTACCTTTTTATATTTTTTCTAAGAAAAAAAAAACAAGCAAGACCAGGAAATGTTAAGCCGCGTTTCGGTTCAGTCTGTAGATTTCCAATTGTCTAGAAGTGAACACTGCGTCTTGTTTAGATGACTATGGCTGGGGTATTCCACCTTTCGATTTGAACCTACATCGTACTATCCTTATTATTTTGAATCTTTTAAAGTGAGACAGCTATACTTCTAGACTACGACCTTCTCAGCATACACCCGAGGTTATAATTAATTCGTTCCTGAATTATATTCTTTATTGAGCACATTAATGAAAAAAAAAACACAATCATCTCATTCTTAACGTAATTCGGTACATAACAATTAAATAACAGGTATATTGATAGATTTTTCAACTTAATTAGAGCGAATTTGATACAGAGAAGTGCCAATCGAAAGTCAACACTATTGCAAAGACTTTAAATATCATTTTCAATGGCTTTTGTGAAATAACTTTACTCGTGAATATTTCAGCAGAAAGAGACACTTGTATTATATAATTCTACAATTACGATTCAAAACAATTACAATCACACCCCGACATCTAAATAATCCTATAATGAATGCAATTTACCATTCTTGTGACAAAAACAATAATCGTTAAAAAAATTATCACATTTCCAAGAATTTAGCGCGAATAGCACCTTTAAATAATGTGGACCGGAAAGTAATGTCGTCTCTCACGTTACACACGAACACATATATTATTGTGAGTGAAATATGTTAGTTTACCGACTTTCAGCGTCATGTTGAAAAATGTCGCCTGTTCGGTTGCGATTGCCTAGACTACAGACAAGACATACCTGTCTAAGTATGTCTTGTCTGTAGTTTATGTTACTATTACACATAGAAAAAACATTTTAAATTACTTCACGAACTTTTGGATCGTTTGCTGCTGCTGACCAAGCTCGTTGCAAAAAAATCAGAAACGTCATTGAAATAAATAAAATACGTATAACTACCATATTTCACGTTTTAAACCGTTAAAGTGTTTTATTATCCAAGTAGTTTGTTGATATGACCTAAAGTTTTGAATCCTTTGGCCACGGGGCCACGCATGATGCAAAACATCCGAAACGTCAAGTCGTCGTTAGAATAAAAAAAAAACCTACCATTTTTCACGTTTTTACCGTTAAAAGCGTTTTTAAGAAAAATAATTTTGGTGAAGAATCTTAATAATTAAATCTTAGTGATTAAATTCATCCTTGATTAAATATGTGTTTCTATTTAACGCGGTTACTTTCCTGTCCCCCTAATGAATCCTGAAACTAGATGTACGAACGTCCTAATTAATAGAGTTGTACAAATACTATATAACCTCGTATCTACATATATGACGCGGCTAGAATTTCATACACTATCCAACGTTGTACACATCTGTATAATACATAGTCTGTACACGAGATTTATACACTTCAAAGATTATATAAAATACAGATCTATGTGGGAGAACTTTATATACAGTATTGCGAGTACAGATTATAAAGTTTTATAGTTCAAGGTCTATATAATCTACTTATATTACAAATTTATACATTTACTTTTGCTCCAAGATTACGTCTTGACAGAGATACATATTGGAAGTAGTTTGCTTGCACAGATTAAAAAAAAATTCCAGCCTAACCATAGTCAAAATACATTTGTAACGCCCAGTATTTTACCTTAAACGCGTCTAACTTACTATATAAAGAACTGCCCGTTACTAATGTAAATACTACACTTTAAGCGTTAAGAGCTATTTTATTGAAATCTTCTATAAGAAACATCTAATACTTGAACGGAAATTACGATTGAAAAGTTTTAATTTTTTTACATATTGTTATTTATTGCACATGGAGGCATTATATATAATTTAAAAATCGAAAATTAAAAAATTTTCGACTCGGGCAAGAATATTCAGCGTTCCGTGCTGTTGCTCTACCAATTGAGCTACGGAGTCCACGGAACGCTGACGATACCGGTTCAGGTCCTGCCTGAGTCAAATTTTTTTTCAATTTATTTTCGATATTGAAACTTACGATTTCAAAAACGTCTACAAGATGGCAGCACCTACTAGCCAACTGTCAGACACACTTAAATTTGATTTCTGGATTGTGACCGTTATTTCTGAAGGTAGGTTCTGAAAAGGATTTCTCAAAACTACCCTTAACAAGAAAAACTCGTCGTATCAGACATTTCTTTTCAACCAAACAAGATGCAAAAGTTTGGGGGGGGTGTAGTGTGTGTCAATTAGATGTCGAAAACATTCACGCGTTACTTCTTCCCTACACTTCCTTTACAAAGTATCCGTTTCTCCTCTCTCAATTGATGATATTAGAAAGAGATAGATATCTAACAATATTTAAGTCCATAGAGACTTTAAAATAACAACCCTACACAACTGAAAATGTCGTAATTCGGTCAAGAACGCACTTACAGGGCGATTTTCATAAACAGCAGTAAAATGCATTTCTGGTTGAAAAAAACAGGAACGGAACTTGAACCGGCATTCACAGCGATCTGCAACTCTACCGTGTCTCACGCGGCATTGTTAAATTTCTTCAACCCATTAATACATGCACCTCTCGTGCAATGTAATTTCAACCTTAACTCTTATGCATTGAGGATACTTTTTAAATATAAAACAGTTTTAGAATGAAATAATTACATCGACACAAGTCGCAAAATATTTTGGAACCGTTTAAACTGGTTTATATTGTCGACAGAAAAACTATTACTCTTTTGAATTTATCTTTGTAAAATCTTGTTCTGTTCTTTTATTAGTTAATCTTAAAAAGAAGTGCGTGCGTATATTAAATAATTTTAATGACATTAAGTACACAATACACTTACGGGCATATACGTTAATATGATGACGTAAACGTACGCATTGCGGATGCAACATTTCATCACATAAAGTACCCTCTATTTAGTATTGTCTGTAGCGTACACGTAGTACACATTTAAATAATGTACTTTCAACAGTTTAAAACACGAAATATAGTAACTTAAATTTTGTCTAGGTCCCGACGTTTCGGATCATTTGCAGCAGCCATGGTCGACGGGGACCGAAGTCGTGATGTCAAAACGGCCAAGTCAAACTGTTTACCTATTAGGAGAAATTGGCTATCCGTGAACGCGACTGCTGCAAGGCATCCGAATTTTTTAATTAAATAAGATAAGCCTTTTTAGTATACTAGAAATAAAATAAATTATAACGTAGAGCGGTATTACAACACGTTTTAAACCATTAAAAACAATTTATTTAAGTGCCCTCTATTTCTTTTCAATTATATTAAAGTTTTTGAACGGTATTTTCATTTTGTATCTGCCCATCTTTGTAATGTTTCATTGTGTAGGAGCGTAATTGTAAAACCTGACATTCTCAGCAGTTCACCGTCTAGATAGCCAGTGGCTTGTCCCGGCACTGATCGACCACGTAGTTCGTGAATCGTTTGAGGAATTTGGGATATTCGCGTTTGTAGATCGCACGGAGGGCACCAGCTGGCGCCCAGCCACCAGGATTCACTGTAAAGAGACAATAATACTTTGTCAACAACCAATACGAAGGAACAAGTCAATTACAAACTATTTATTTATATAAAAACCTAGTAGAATTCATTCGACAGTAGAACAAGCAAATTAGTATATTTTGATTCGTTGGAATTCTGGAATTGTGTGTGATAGGTTTTTGATAAATAAATAAAACAGTAATACGTAAAAATAGATAGAATGGAAATTATGTCATTTGACAAACGTTTGTGTAAAGGTGGCAATGTACGGCTAAAAATCGACGTCAACGTTGTCTGGAAACCAGGGATAATTAATGTGTGGTATAAATAACCCAATTCCGCCCTGGTTACGAAAGACCGTACACAGAGTCTGTGGATTTCCGTATATCCATAACCAATATTATGTACTAGCTGTATCAGCGACTTATTTTGGGTAACAGAAATTGTTAATGCGAACCTTCTTTGTCGTTCTTGAAACTTAATCTTAAAAGATAGACATTTAATGTCGTAGACATTTTTTAAAATCATATTAAGAGGAATCATTATCATATTATCATTAAGATATATATTTTTTAGGTATCTTGTACCGTTTTCGCAGATTACGTTATTTTTCCCCGTATTTCCCACATTTCTCCCTATTTCTTCGCTCCTATTAGTTACAGGACGCAGTGAGTACCAGAAACTGGCTGATCTATTTTTTTTATTTTGGATAGTCCGGAGTCCTGTGTTAAATACTTCTGACTTATTTTAATGCCAAATAAACGTTTTATATCCTATAACCTTCCTCGATACGTGCTCTAACCAACACAAAAAGAATTTTTCAAATCAAACCAGTAGTTAATAGGTTTAGCGCGTTCAAATAAACAAACGTGCTCTTCAGCTTCGTATATTAGGTATAAATTATTCACCAATATCTATTGTCTGTTCTCTTCTATCATATAATAAACATTATTACTACAAAATAAGCATTGTCCTGTAGTTTAAACGAGTACTATAAATTTAAATAAAATATATTAAATACTGTCTATAGTTTATGCGAGTAGTACACATTTAAATAAAACTGCTGCAAAGCATCCGAAACGTCGGGCCGAAGTTAAAAATCATTTTCAAATAAGTTTAACTAATATATCGCGTTTTAAACCGTATAAAGTTTTTTATTTAAAATATATTAGTTGATACTAATTAAATAACAATAGGAAAAGTTACCTATTGTATTTCCCGTTTTAAACCATTGAAGTGTTTTATTTAAATTCCTAGCAATACAGCGAAGAAATAAACCTTTTCGAATATAAACATATTAGCGCCTGTGGTATATGATAGCTTGTCTTGTACATTACCACATATATATATATATTATTATATATATATATATATATATATATAGTATAAAACACTAATTTCCTTACATCGCAATGAAAAACCGCTGAAATTAATGAAGCAAAAACTGTAAAAATATCCGACAAGACGCAATGAGGTCGAATGACTGGAAAGCAATTAACGAATGGATTTATATTAGAATTTTAATTGGTCACGCAACCGAATAGATTCGGTCGGTGACTCGATAGTTAAATTGTTTGATTATTAACACGATATAATTTATAATTATTAATTACAGTTTAGTTTTATTACAGTTTCGCGTGGCCTCGATGTAACCCGTCTAGACCAGAATTATGTCGATGCTATTTTGATAAGTTTAAACTATTGTAGCACAAAAATACGCGTAATTTATACTTCTCGTATTAAAACGGTTAAAAATGCGCAATATATTAACAAGTACTACTAAATTAATTTTTTATTAGGACACCCTCCATCTTTAGTCCTCTCTTGAACACAACTGATGTAAAGCATCCGGCAAACGTCGGGTCGTAGGAACAAATCATAATTCTTCCCTCGAGTATTAACTATGGTTTTGTAACATTAAACATATTGTCCACACTACTCCGACTCTTGAAATATTAAACGGTTTGGTGGGGGGGGGGTTGGTCGTGCCTTTTGCGAACATAATCTATTTTTAAGCGATGAAACAATTACATAAAACTTATTTTTCCCCCGTAATGACATCCGCTGCAAAGCATCTTTTGGATTAGTCGGATTGTGGTTTAAAATGCGTTTTAACTATTATTTACATCAAATAATCTTATATTTAAACATGTCATGTCCTACGATGTGATCACGGCTGCTGTACCGCATGCGCACGGATAAAATGTGGGGTTATAGTAACAAAATAAGTTTAGCTTATATAATTTGCGTTTACTGAAAAGTGTTCTACTCGTGTAAACTACAAACTACTTTATCTATACAAAGATAACATTTTCTAATTACCTGTACTACAATAAGCGATGCTCGTGGTAATGTTTTCTCTGCACGGCGTCTCATTTGGCGGGAAGGTGGAGCGACAGGCGAGGCAGACCGTCACTATCAGGCGGATACAGGCTCCTGTGTTTGCCTAAAAATATATATTAAAAAAATTTAATTAGCTATTAGGATAGATATAAAATGGAATGAATATAAAAAATAAGATAAACATCTGTTCCAATATTATAAAACTGAAGAGTTTATTTGTTCGAACGCGGTAATCGCAGGAACTTCTAGTTATAATTGATTTTTGTGTTGGTTAGAGCATTTATCGAGTGAAGGTTTGGGCTATAAAACATTGTGCTGTTACTAATACGGCGAGAAACAGCGGGAAATGTGGAAAATCGGGGAAAATCATTCATCCTTGGGGGTTTCCGATGCGTACGCTGCGAAAACGGTTCAAGATACCCGAATCAATAGTATAAAAGAATGATTCCTCTTTAAATGATTTAAAAAAAACTGTCCGCGACGCCTTATGTCTATCTTCTAAGATTAACTTGCAAGAACAACTGGACGATCGACGTCGTGGCTAACAGCTTAAATTTGCTAAAAATGTAGAGGAGGTTTGCAATAACCAAATTTACATGCCCAAAATAACAATTCTACGCAGACGATGTCGCTGACATAGCTAGTAAAATAAACAAAGTACCATAACATAATCAGAGCAACAGGATCTTACTCAGCTTGTGTTGACGTGAAACTGATTTTCAGTAACTACAGACTTACTGAAAATCAGTTTCAGTGCTGCCGTTCCAAACAATTGATCTACCGTCCATAACTGATTAGAACAGCGCGGAACGTTGTGAATACCGGATTAAACCGGCCCGTTGCGTCAAAAAATTTCCGCATAAATAAATTTTGAACAGTCCTATTGTATCCTAGCCTTTTTATCCCTTAAATTGTCGATATACACAAAATACTGACCGGATAATCAGCGTGTGTGGTAGAGTGATTGGTCACGGCGTACGTGTGTTGCGGCGCGGAGCGGACATGCGACCAGAAGAGGGCATCGCGCTGGGACGCCGGCCAGATGCGTTTGAAGGTCTGGTGGAAGACCAGCGTGTCCGTCGATATGTCCTCCACTATGTTCATCGTCTCTAGCGTAGCTGAAAACAAATGCGATCGCCGTAAAAAGGGATGGCTAACACATAAGTGTTCAAATTTCGATTGAAAATCGAAAATAAATTGAAAAATTGTTCGACTCGGGCAGGACTTGAATCGGCATCGTCAGCGTTCAATTTATTTTCGATTTTTTATCTATATGATGCCATCATGTGTCATCAATAACATGTAAAAAGTATTGAAGTTTTCAAGTGTACAACTTTCTTTATTATTCTTTGTATGGTATAGGGAGAATATAGGACAACAACTCATTTGCCTTATAGTCATAAAACGTAACATTTGTTTCTTTCAAGGTTAAGAAGCAAATACAGTTAACAATAATGTCCACAGAAACTAGCTGATCAATTAGAACGAAACAGATGGCGCTACGATAGCGGGATTGATTTTTACATTAGAAACGTGTGATGTAATTAAAAATAAGTTAACTAATATTGCGTTTTAAACCATTTAACATGTTTTATTTAAATACGTTATAATTTAGCATACGATCGATATATTACGTCTTTTACTGAATTCCAAGAGAATGAAGTGTCCAACGAGTGTTAGTTTCAATGTGTGAAAGAGATAGCAATAGGCACTCACTCTCCCACTCGTACCGGTAGCGAGGGTTGAAGAAGTAATGGCACATCTCACGCGCAGAGACGCCTCGTACTTTGTGCATCGCCTTCAGCGGGTCCATGACCATGCCGTCCACTTCCATCTCACTGCATCCAGGAAGGAAATAATAATAATATGAGGCTGCTAGTGTTTAATTTCGTTTTTAGATTTCGAGTATAATTCCGTTAATTTTTTGTGTTTTATGCAAAATGTAAAAAAACCTCGCTTGCTCTGCCTCTGTAACCTGCCACAGAAAATCAGTGTTGGGAAATTAGTCCCAACGTAGCTGAGTGCGAGTGTGTGAGTAATTCCGATTCTGAGTATTTAATTAAAACATAAATTAAATTATATAAATTATTTTTCAAGAAAATGTATCGACCACCACCTTTGTAACTAAATGGTTAAACGTGTTGCCTAGCACTGCGTTAAACTGAGTTCTAATCCCGTGGTAACAATAGACTGTTTCGGTCGGGCAGGGCACAGGAGTCTAATCAACTACTTGCCTGTGAAACCGATCAGTGAAACTGACACAGAAATATGTACCCCTCATGCCCCACAAGGGTAAAAGGGGATTTCACTTATGACATGCAAACATTTTGGTACAGCTTATCCCGCTTCTAGAAAATCACAATGGCCTCTTATAACTCACCGTCGGTACATCCTCATGTCTCCCTCTTCAGCGAACAGCTGCCATCCTATCTCACCGCCGACACCTTCAAAGGCCGCTTGGATTTGTTCCGTTGATATCCTGTCAATCTGCGAAATACAAGTCCCTTTACGTTTCTTTGATACATGAAGAGAAGCAAGCATCTGGTTCACTCGAAGGAAGGTAAAATATCCCAGCCATATAGCATTATGCAAGGTGCGCTATTGACCTATCTTTGGAAATCGAAACATTCACTCATTTAACATCTAAATAATGTTTAGATGTTAAATGAGTGAATGTTTGAAATTGATTAGAAACGATTCGGACTCGGTGGGGACCGAAGCCAAGACCCGTTGTCGTTGCTACCATTAAACCAATGAGCCCCTCAATACCTTAAGTAGTAGAAAAAAAAAGGATTCTCCTAAGCATTTCTTTTTACAGTGTTACCATCTCATAAAACATTATAACAGCATACATTTTTTTTTATCTAAAACAGCGAAATTATAATTATACTTTTATTGTATAACGACAGAAAGTGATTCTGAAAAAATATTTATGAAGACATATAAAAACAGTAATATTAAGAACTAGCTGCTTAAGTCTATTGGCATTTGAAGCTATTTTGGTTGCCTTTGGACATTTTTCATTGTCTTACAAAAAAAAAGCAGCAACCAGCGTAAAAACTTGCGCCGATCGGAAATCGATACAACGACAAATTCCAGAGTTAGAATTCTTCAATTTGTTATATTTTTTAACGTCATTATAAAACTCATGTGCAAATTATAATAAAGATAAAAACAACCGATTTCTACTTAATTTGCTTTAATTTCTATTGTAAAATATAGCGCGCGTTCCTTCCAATTTACAGTACATGGATATTACCTGCCAAGTTGCTTCCGGCCGTACGCGATTATCTAATCGGGAATACCGCTTTAATTAACTCTGTACATCGTTTATTCATCGAACCCTTATATATGAACGTGAAAACAAAGATAGCAAATAAAGGAAAAACTTATCTAAGACTAAAAAATTGTACTTTGTCCTTGAACTATTTTTTTACACGTTTCGCACGTGACATAATTTTGTGCTAAGATTAAAAATAAATTTTAAAGAACGCTTTTGACGGTTTTAAACGCGATATATATTAGTTAATTAATTTTAAACCGTTAGAAGTGTTTTATTTAAACGTGTACTACTCGCGTAAACTACAGGCAGTATTTGAAAAGTAAAAAATATATAACATGTGCAGGACTCGAACACCTGACCACAGCGTTTCGTGCACCTTTCGAACCATTAATACATTTATACATGCATCTTTGGTGTAATTAAATTTGAACTTTAATTCATAAGTATATAGGTTCGATTTCTAATGCTTTTCAGCGTTAGGAAGTTTGAAAATAAAATCACAATTACATTTTTTAAACTACAATACATTTTTTTTTATTTAGTCTTTACTTCGTCTAATATAGGCAGGTATATCAGATCATTTATTTATTAATTTGTTCATAATATAGATGATATGTATTCGTCTATCAACTGAAACGACCCATGACCCCAGTTAGGGACGCAGTAGTGATCATCAATCGTGATGCCCTACAAGTCAAAGGTCGATCAACTGGTAAGGTTATAATCAAGTTAGTCTCTAAACCGTACAAGTTACAATTGTCCAAGAGAAATGAGGAAGTAATTTCTCGAAACGAAACCTTACAATTTTTTTTAATCTACCCTACAATTTACTACTCATTTTTATATATTGCGTATTTATTTTTAATTCTTTATATATTTATAACCACAAACAAAGTCTTCGTTTTGAGTATTATAATTATTCTAGCTGTGCATGCGACTTCGTCTGCGTGGAAAAGTTATTTGGGAGATCAATATATATTTGGATATAATTAGCTTCAAAAGTTATATCTGCTAATTACGATGTCCGCGTCGTCCGCGTCCCGTCATTCTGACAAGTTAATCTTAAAAGATAGATAACCGTTGTCGCAGCGAACGCAACGGTAACCTTCAATTCTTAAATAATGTTTCCGTTCTTTCCACATTGGAATAATATCTAATATATAAAATTCTCGTGTCACGGTGTTCGAACTTGAACTCCTTCGAAACGGCTCGACCGATTTTCACCAAATTTGATATGTGTATTCAGTAGGTCTGAGAATAGGACAACATTTATTTTTCATCCCCCTAAGTGATAAGGGTTGTTCACCCTTAAATTTATTTTTTTTATTTTTTAGACAAAATTTTTAATTTCTTACTATTAGTACAAGTAGAAGAGAGAACTGTTCAGAAGAACATTAGGCTTTGCAGTAAACCTTCAGTATTATCAGACTGCTCGCTCTAAATGAAGCACGAAGTTCTAATTTAATCCGGCTTAAGATAAAGCTTACGCTAAGAGCACAAAAGTACCTCGAAAACACGCCAACTATAACCTTTCTAATATATAAAATTTTCGTGTCACGGTGTCAGATATCATACTCCTCCGAAACAGCTCGACCGATTTTTATAATCCGACCGACCGACTTCCTTTCGCAAACCTACTATTATTGTTACTATCTAGTTTTCGTACACTAAGTGATAAGAGTTATCTACACCTAAAACTTTTTTCGCCAAAACAATATTTTTTCTTTAAATGTGCCATGGGAAAAATACGTACTATTTTAAATTTTCACCCTTCTATGACCAACCCCTATTATTAACTAGTTCTTTTAGTAATTTATTCACTTTTCATTCTTTCAGTCGACTAATAGCCCTAAAAATAAGTTATATGACAAAACGACGTTTGTCGGGTCAATCTAGTCTAATATAAAATATATACATATAACATTACAATGAATCTTTGAAAGTACGACTATAATTTTGTCTAATCATCCAGTAATTATCAGTTTTGCCTCTTACTAATTGTAAGTAGTCTAACCTAACCTAATAATTATGTCTTGTCTGCAAATAAACCTTCCGTATTTATTTACCTTATATAAGTCGTTACATAAAAAACAGGTGTTTACGCGAATTTGTGGAATTAAAAACAATAATCGCTAAACTTCCAATAATTACGTATAGAAAGCGTGGGAAAATGTTAAGATTGAAATTACATTCCGTGAAAGGTGCATGTATCAAAGGTTGAAAAAATTCAACGATGACGTGTAAGACACGGTTGCTCTATAAGTTAGAACATCACTGTGAATTCCGGATCAAGTCCCGCCTGTGTTGTTCAATTTTAAAATCGATTTTTAAGCGAGAAAAAAAAAAGATTGCCAACACCGGCCCAATTCGAAAACAATAGCGCTTACCTCTGGCCAGAGCGGGTGCACAGTGAGCCTATTGTCTATGGCCGGTGGGGGCAACTCGACCTCATCTCGAGTGACCTCCGTTGGGGAAGACACCCTCGCGCACCTCTCCTCCTCCATTTTGTCGAAGCCAGTCTCCACTGCATCGTAGAACTCGTCGTCTGGAAGGGTAGAGTGTGGTCCCTCCTGAGAAAAGGATGGAAATAACTATTAAGTATTGTAATTGTAATAAGTGCAGATGCACCAGCGACTAAAATTGTCGAAATTTTAGTCGCTGGTGCATCTGCACTAGCAATAATCTTATTGCTAAATGCATATGAGGCCAACACTATTGTCCTTCCTATATTGATGATATTCTTGATTTTATTTTATTTGAATTAGTCTATTTGTAATTATTTATACTTAGTTACAATTTGTCACTCAAATATAGTCGATTTTAATTGAAGTTTTTATTTGCGACATCCTATAAGGCCAACGCATAACAAACCCTAAAAGTAATGTATAGTCCGTAATGTATGTAATTGACATGCGTCCTAGATTGTTATCCCTTAGTAATGGAAAGTGTTTTTGGCCGAACATACGACAAATATATGGTTGAAATAATTGTGTCATTATTTATTTATTGCAATACCCATACATTATTTTGCGTGACAATTAGCTTATAGTTAACAAAGACAAGCTGTCGTTTACATAATAAGCGGACGTTTAACAACTTTGTAAAAATGCGAAATATATCTCATTCCTTTGAATATTTGCAATATATATGAAAGAACACATTCAGATTTGCATAACCACAATCTCAATGTGTTCTTTCATCCGTAAAAGGGAAATGGAGCAATGAGTGAAAAAAAAACATATTTAACAAAATTACAATCCAGTAATGGCTGAACAAAACTCTCAAGAAAATACAATAATAATATAATATTAATTGAAATACAAATAATCATTATCAGTGAGTCGGTTAAGAAAACAATGAATCGTATGCCGGGCGCCGCCAACCTACATATTATTAAGGACAAGTGATGTGGAAATGAATTTCACTCATTACGCTGCCGCTGCGGTTGCAGGTAGCGAACACGCGAAGCGATTTTTAAACGATCTTCCGCTATCACTGTAATCGTATAAAACATCAGGCATTCATACAGTTTAAGACTCTGAAATACTAGCATGTTGGCAAATGAGATCAAAACCTAAAATTTCGGAAGATGAAAGTCAGTAAAATAAACCACTTTTAACGGATTAAAACGCGAAATTTACGAATTTACGCGTTGTCGTCTTCGTTTTTGGATATATTTATTTACTTAATTTTTTAAAGTAAATAAATGTTAACTTAACCACTACATACGACATACATAGGACACAGTGGGTGAGTTTTGTAAGAACCCAGCTAGTGTCTCCAAATACCAACTACGACGAAACGACATTAGAGACATCCGTCATCTTCAGTCTTCCCGCGACCAAGTCACAGTTAATATTAATTGTAAATGAGATAACCAATATATTTAGCGTTAAAACCGTTAAAAGTGTTTTATTTACATGAGTACAAGTCGCGTAAACTACAGACAATACTCGACATGTCGTTTATCCCTTCAATGAAACGAACATATTTTAAAAGTGCAACAGTGGATCGAACTGTCTATCTCACGACCAAAAGACAGGTGTACACCACTCGACCGATACGGCTTCGATTATATAATATATATGCACTGAAATTATCATAGGTATCCCTTTTTTAATCGAAAATATGCGAATAGTTGACTATTGCAATGGAACAAACATTTTTAAGTGTGAAATCCTTGTGTTGTTCATAGTAAGACAAATTTCTGCTTCACAGATTGATCTTATTAACGTATTTTTTGTATTGAGTTTATTTACCGAAATCATCGTTTCCCCGGGCTTCAAAGCCATAACTTCACGCAGTTAACGCCATACCAACAGGCAAACTTCACGCAGTTAACGCCATACCAACAGGCAAACTTCACGCAGTTAACGCCATACCAACAGGCAAACTTCACGCAGTTAACGCCATACCAACAGGCAAACTTCACGCAGTTAACGCCATACCAACAGGCAAACTTCACGCAGTTAACTCCATACCAACAGGCAAACTTCACGCAGTTAACGCCATACCAACAGGCAAACTTCACGCAGTTAACGCCATACCAACAGGCAAACTTCACGCAGTTAACGCCATACCAACAGGCAGGTCACAGCGGCGATCGAAAGATGAACAAATGTTTTGGGAACCGTAATATTAATGGCAACTATGTAATTTAAAAGTAATAAAATCAATTTACCAACTATGAAATCATCGTCTGCACGAGTTATAAGTGCCGAAACGGAGTTATGAAATAAACCATTTTATAGTATCTAAATTAATACAGCTAAACATAAGACTGTACTGACGGAATTTACATAATGTGCTAAACATAGAATCATTTACATATGACAATAGGTTTTACTCCTCTTTACATCACTTCTTATTTCGGACTAGCTCTGCCCGCGACTTCGTTTGCGTGGAAAAGTTGTGGGCATCACATCGTTTTGTTTTTTGCAAACCACCTCCTCAGCTGAATGAGTAGTAGCTGTTACGTAAGACTGCGTTCGCGTCCCGTCGTTTAAAGACGGATCATTATTTCATAATTTGTTTATGGTTTCTTGAACCGTTAGCGTAGCGCACGCAACGGGAGCCCTCAAAGTTGAATATTTTTTCTGTTTTCCACATTTCGTTATGTTATATAGCTTAAGGCCTACATCGATAAATGGTCTAACCAACACAGAACTATTTTTTTAATTCAAACAAGTATTCCTTGAGTTAAGCGCGGTTAAACAAACGAACTCATTAGCTTCTAATATTAGCATAAATAGAGCAATAAAATGTACACAATATTAACATTTTGTTTACCTGTGTGTGGGTTCGAGTCCCGCCCGTGTCGTAATTGTTTTTTTTTCAATCGTCTAAAGATTCTTTATTTGCATGTTAAGGAATCGATAATTGCGACATAATTTATTTTAACTTTCTTAATTTTAAATGCACGTTTACTATATACAGCTATAATAGTTAGAGAAATTGATAAAAAATAACATGTTTAATTTTTTTGTTTAAATTTCAACCTTATCCCGTATTGATTAAGCAGTGTTTAGTTTCACGTACATTTAATAAATCTTGTGAAACACCTAAGTTTCCTAGAAACATTTCGCACTGCATCCGCGAGCACGAAGGTTTGTTTTTGTTGGTTACTGAAACGTACTGTTTAATCTAATTCTGGCAATGCAATAACTCGGACATAATTAGACCAGTTTACACCGACTTCAAGATCGCAGGGTTCATGTTACGATTAACGAAGAAAAGAATGTAGGTTAATTCACTCTGACTGTACCCGCCACTAATAGAAATGTTTTTGGAATTCTCCTTTTGTGGAAGAATTATTTACGAGACGGACAGACAAGGTTCTTGATGGAAGGTGTGGTAATATACGAAATATAACATCTAAACACTGTTGACCAGATTAGCTTTGGACACCGACTGAAACCGAATCGCGATTAAACTTCAAGGATTTTATAACTGTTATGTAAAATAAAAATTGTTATTTTTTTGACGACAAAATGGGTCACGGCTCGATCCCCGCCGGGCCCAACATATTTCAAAAAAATATATAATTTTTCCGAAACATGTTGGACTTCGCCTTGGATATAAAAAATCAACCGTTCTATGTGTCCACTGCTGGACATAGGCCTCCCCCATAGACTTCGAGTGCGACCGGTCGTTCGCTAGTTGATAAAAAAACGTATCTATAATCATACTAATTTTTATTATCCATACTGAGATGATATCTTAAGAACAATGCTGCTGCAAAACATCAAACGATATGTTTATTGTGTGAAAGTTTATATATTTGCGGGATTTATTTACTCATCATCCTATTAGCTTACGTGTCGTTAAATTTCCAATGATAATTATTGAAAGAACTACAAAACAGCTGTAACTCTGTAGAGACAATATATTTCAATGTAAACTTAACCTTCCATGCGATATTTGCACAAACGACAAGTATATTTATAACTTCGCATTTACAACGGAAATGAGATGATAAAACGATGCACGCCAGCCGAGAAGAACCGATGCTATATTAATCAAGGTTATAATAGCTTTAAGATAAAGAAATGGAACATAATGTTCTAATAGCTCTCATGAAATATGAGGCCGCTAGGGGCATAGTGGCCTATTAACAAAAAAAAACATGATTTTCATTAAGGAGGAAAATAAAAATGTGCAATTAACTTACACGAAAATTAATTTACTATTATTTGTGTAAAAATTATGCTAACAATTTCGGTCACTGTGCTCTTGTAGATTAACATTTTTAAGACTAGGAAAATACAAATAACTCAAGCCATAAAAAATAAGGTTAGGCTAGTCTGTCTCTAGCGACCTCATATAGGTATCTTTTAGATATACCATATACATCCACCGCAAAAAAACGTGCGCAGCAACACACATTTTAGCAAAGGACCAGAGTTCCTTGTTTTTTAAACAACATTTTTATAAATAAATAATACTTGTCCCGTAAATCGACACAAATTTGTGTCTGCGCATATATATATATATATATATATATATATGTAATGTAATGTAAATAGCATGCAACCCGTTTGCAAAGTATCGTTAGTAAAGTTTTATTTAAACGTGTACTACTCGCGTAAACTACAGACAGTATTTAATTTGTGTAGCCCAAATAACTATGTCAACGACACCTACACGTGTGGCTACGAGTTTCAATACAAAGAAAAACAAAGCACTACTCCAATTCAATGCAATCACGCTTCATATAAAACGTAATTAATATGTACATCAATTATTCTCGTTTTACGATGAGGCACGCCCACGATAAAACTACCCCGATGACGTCACGGCCACACCCTTGAAAGTAAAAGCCTGTCGCGACGTGCACCGATTGTAGTTTCGTGATAACCGTTCTATTTTTGAATATTTGTATATGGAGAAAAAAGAACTACTGTAAATTGGCGTTTTTATCATAATATTTTTATCATATAAGTAAAAAAATTAATATGTTATATGTCTTTAAATATCTTCTTTATAAACATCTATCTACAACATATTCAAACTTTTAAACTTAATGTTTATAAATAATAAGTAATACGTAAAATTATTTAGATTTTAAGTG